CTAGAGACAGAGAGAGAAAGCGAGAGAGGCAGAGAGAGGGTGAGAGCGTAGAGACACAGAGAGAAGGTGAGAGAGACAGAGAGAGGGTGAGAGCCTAGAGACAGAGAGAGAAAGTGAGAGAGACAGAGAGAGGGTGAGAGCCTAGAACACAGAGAGAGAAAGCGAGAGAGACAGAGAGAGGGTGAGAGCATAGAGACAGAGAGAGAAAGCGAGAGAGACAGAGAGAGGGTTAGAGCCTAGAGACAGAGAGAGACAGAGAGAGGGTGAGAGCCTAGACACAGAGAGAGAAAGCGAGAGAGACAGAGAGAGGGTGAGAGCCTAGAGACAGAGAGAGAAAGCGAGAGAGGCAGAGAGAGCGTAGAGACACACAGAGAGAGAGTCTCCCTCCTGCGATGTCTCCCTCCATCTTACCTCATGCTCCACTCCGTCGACATGGAGACTGCCGCACTCCCAGTCGTCGATGACGGCGCGGGCCGTCAGCTGATGCAGCACGAGTCCTCTTGTCGTCGCCAACGCTGACGTAGACACCACCGTCGACACCTCCCTGCCTCCGACGCGCGCGCGAAGCATCGCCTAGCAACGCAGAAGGGATGCGACGGTTACCTAGCAACCATGTGTCGGCGCAGCGTCGCCTAGCAACGCAGAAGGGATGCGACGGTTACCTGGCGACTGTGTCGGCGCAGCATCGCCTAGCAACACAGAAGGAACGCGTTGGTTACTTAGTGACCCTGTATCCAATGCGAGCGTGCAGTATGTCGTATTGCACATGACACATGGCGGGTGGCGACAGATGAAAGAACAGCCATCACAGCTGATACATGGGGGTAAAGACAGATGAAAGAACAGCCATCATAGCTGATACACGAGTGTGAAGACAGATGAAAGAACAGCCATCACAGCTGACACGTGGGGTGATGACAGATGAAAGAACAGCCATCATAGCTGACACGTGGGGGTGAAGACAGATGAAAGAACAGCCATCACAGCTGACACGTGGGGTGAAGACAGATGAAAGAACAGCCATCACAGCTGACACGTGGGAGTGAGACAGCAATTGAACAGCCATCAACGATACCAAGGACATCTCACCATCGTGCAGTTTGGCACAAAGCCGTAGACAACCAGTCTGCTGCCATTGAACAGACAGCGAATCTGATTGGGTGCCTGTACGACGGGGGGCGTGTCTTCGTCAAACTGCAACCAATCAATGGAGATGGACGACAGGCAGGGTTGACACGCCTTGCTGATCAGAGATGTAACCTGGAAGTCACAGAAAGCAATAGATGAGAGAGGTCCCGCTTGCTGCAGTTACATACATAATACCTACATCTGTTTGTATCATAAATAAAGAAATAAAGAAAGAAATAAATATAGATATGTATATATATATATATATATTTATAGGCAG